GTTTTACAAAATATGAAATAGATTAAAACAAATTCGAAACTTGGCCGCCCAGATGCCCATGTTCGGGTGGAGGATTACATTATTCAAAATTTGATGGCTCTAGATACTGTCGTTTTTGTCACAGTGCGAGAAACATACATGTATTCATGCAGATTCTTCATTATTTAATTTCCTTACATATAATACAGGCGATAATATTTGTAACAACAATTTGCAAGGAGACACGGAACCTTTATAGTAAAACAGCGCAAAATGCCGCTTCGAAACTAACAGCCTTTCTAGGCCCTTTGGGCTAATAAATTAAATAACAGTAAATTAAAAAAAAAAAAAAAAAAAAAATCTTATGCAGAACTAAAAATAACATTTAAAAAAATAATCACTGTAAAATACAAGCAAATTAATTATTATTACGGTTAAATACAATTTTAATATTAGAATTAAATGTATAAAACATTTTGAAGGAGGCAAAAGTGTTTATCACTATGATGTATAATGAAATGTAATTGAAATAAAATTCCTTTATAAAAATTGTGCTATAATACTCATCTATAATTTAAAAAAAGCAGCACAATTTAGAATTTTAAACAAAACTTTCAAAAATTCGTTTTTAAATATTTTGGTATTTTTTACTTATTTACACCAATAAAAAGCATAAAAATTGCAAGAGAAAATTGTTTGTTTTAAATTTTCTATTAGTTCAGGTTTAAAATATTATTTTCTAAAAGAAGTAGTTACAAATTTCCTTACAAAATAAGAAAAGCTAAAAATATCCATCCAACCCTGAAAGCATGCAATAGCTTTATAATTATTTGGAACGTTAATATGCTTGATAAATATGCTATTTTAAAATCATCTCATTCAAAAAAGAATCTAATTTTGAATAGCGTACAAATTTCTGACAATACGCTAAAGGCCGATTGTCAAGGTACAGCCGAAGCTGAAAACCCGTTTGGGGTCTTTTTTATAAGTCCTGTTCGGCACGAAGGACTGATTTACAAGCTAAATAACTTTCTTTTTCCTGTCAGCCTTGTGAAGTTAATCATCTCATACCTAAAAAGAAGAACCTTCCAGGTGAGAGTTGGAGACTCCCTTTCCGGAAGGAAAATCATTGCCAGCGGCGTCCCGCAAGGGTCTGTTATTGGCCCAAAATTATTCAACATTTTCGTTAATGATTTACCCAACCCACTGAATGCTAAAACCCTGAAATATGCAGACGACACGGTGATTTTATCGGAATCTAAAAGCCCCCAACTTGCTCTTACTAACCTACAGTTTCACATCAACATAGTAGCTGCTTGGTGTCAACTTTGGAGAATTAAAATTAATACCGCGAAATGTAAAATTGTCCAATTCCGTCGCTACAGAAGAAATGTCACTACGAACACGGATATCAAGATAGAGAATGATGTGATTCCAGTTTGCTCGTCCGCAAAGTACTTGGGAGTTACCCTAGATGATAGGCTCACCTTCAAAGAGCACGTAACCAACCAAGTAAATAAAGCAAACGGAGTTTTCATGTCGCTTTATACTGTTATAGGTAGGAAATCGAAATTGAGCTTAAAAGCTAAACGCATGATCTATCTCACTATGATTAGGCCAGTTATGCTCTACGCCGCCCCAGCGTGGGCAATTGCCAATAAGACGGATAGGAGAGGAGAAAACTAGAAGTCCTTCAAAACAAAATTTTGAGAGCCATCACTAACGCGCCCTGGTTTGTACGAAATAGCATCATTCATGCAGACTTGAAAATAAAGCCCATTCCTGAACAAATCCTCATGGAGGCGCACAACTTCTTCGAAAAAAATGGATAATTCTCCAGTGCACACGCTAAGAGAACTCGGTAATTATGACCCTACGGTGGACAGCGTGGTGAAGAGACCTCGGTCAATTCACCATAATGCGCGGTGGTGATGTAAATATGTAAATAGTGTACATATGAAGTTGTGTTTTGTGCTCTATCTAACCTTATTTAACCAAGTACTGTGTTACTGCCAAAATTGGCTATTTGCCTGGAAGCAGGCTAGAGACTCTGAATTAATTAATATGTGTTAAGGACTGTGTATTGTGTGATCTCACCACGCCCACTGCTGTGGTTCTACTCCTGATTACCTGCTGGACTGCGCACCCTATCTCAGTAACCTTACGCTACTATCCTGACCGAATGCATCATGCATGGACTTGAATGCTGGATGATTTTGTTTTCCAAGTACTAATTTCCCAATTTTCGTATATTCAGCTTGACTTCGCCACGGAATGATTGCACCTTGTTCTAATGTCACGCCCCCGGGCGAGGTGCAGTAGCACCTTAATGTACTAAAAACCGTGAATGGCCTTCATAGGCTGCACAGATTGAACAGGTCAAAACTCAAAGTAGTTGTATACCTGAGGTGAATCAGAAATAAATAATAAATAATTTTGTAGTAGTTGCTTAGTTTGTTGTTGTTTAGAAAACTGCTCTTGTTGATTGTAGCGAATTCGCGGATTAGCTTTCTTTAGCTGTTTTGAATTACGTTCTATTGGACATTTGAGTAGTTAAAAGATAACTACTGTGAGGTATTGTAATACTGCATGATAATTTGAGAAAATTTAAGCGTTTTTGTTGTGATAATAATAAAAATTTTGTTCATTTTTCATCGGACTTGTGCATTCATTTCATAACGAACCCGTACGCACGCAACAATATATTCATGATGATAACTGTTTAGAAAGTTTAATAAGAATTATGAAAGATAAGGCAATTTAACCATAAAAAATTAACATACCTAATATGTAAATGTTATTAGTCATGTTTGTACGAGTACAAAAATCATTAAATTTAGGAACACAGTTGTTGAATAACGTCGAATTTTGATCAGTAACAGGCACTGAAAATTGATACAATTTAGAAACTTTGTTCCTGTACATCTCCGTAATATTATCATATGAAAGTATGGAACTTTTTAAATCATATTGGGTATTACGTTAAACGAGGATCCCTTTAAATGTTAGATTTCATATGCATATTCTCTTCTACCTCTGATAAAAACTGTTTTTAAAAAGTTCTGTTTTAAAAAAAGCAGTTTTAAAATTCCCTCATTTTGAGATATTTTATGACTAGAAAAAACACATGATACTTAAAGAAATGAAGCCACATCTAAATTTACTCTAGGTGGAAACTGATTATTTATCAGGCTGTCTGAATGGTAATTACAAGACTTTATTTTTTTGTACAATGTATATGACGATATATGACGATTTTCTTGGATGATAATTTACATGGTAGCTTAAACGTAACGCAATATGACGGCCCCAAAATTTTGAACGATTCTATTTAAAATGTTTCTAGGTTCATAAAATATTTAGAAATAGAAGTATTGCAAAAGAGAAACTAAGAAAATAAAATTGCATGCTCTTCATTCTGGGGAATTTCATATACAACTGACTAAAACCAATTTTGGGTAACAGGTAAAAATATAAAAATTTCGTATACTAGAGCTACAAAAACGTCTTAATGCCAAATAAATTTTCGAGAGCTAGGTGTCTTACCACCCTGTGCAATCTTTTAGGGCCCTAAATATTGGTGCCCGCTATCTCCATTAAATTCTAAAAATTTTACCATTCCTAAGATCTGCTGTCCGCTGTTTCTCTTAAATTCTAAAAATGTTGCATTCACTAAATTTTACTGTTCGATGTTTCTCTAAACTCTAAGAATTTTACCATCTCTATATTTTGTTGCTTGGTGCTTTTCTAAAACTTTTACTACCTCTAAATTTAATGCCGCAGTGTGACCACACTTATTACACCAACTCTAGTATCAGCCCTGAGTCCTCTGACATCAGCTAAACTGAAGAAAGTCATATCTATAGTGTTTGGCATAAAATTAGTCACTCTAATAATAGTTCCTTTATCATAATTTATTCATAAAATACTCTTAACATAATTGTTTTCGCATTGCTTATGCTTTGGAGTAATAATAAAGTGATTTTATTTCAGGACGGAAGACAAGGAGTTAGCTTTGCAATACTTTCCCAACGCAAGATTTCAAGTAGTTAAAAATGCAGGTCACGCTGTACATTTGGATTGTCCACGCATATTTGCTGATTTGCTTGTGAATTTCATAGGGAAATGAATGTAATTCCGGAAACTATTTAAAAGCATTAAAAGTTGGCAATTAATTTCATAAATTTTATCTTCTTAAATGTGAAATTTTGTTTTTTCATACAAATCGAAATATCCTGAAGCGATAGTTCACAATAAAAGTATAGACAAAAACTGTACGTCAAAGTAAATAAAAAGCTCGGCTACCCAAAGATGTTTCTTTCAATTTAATTGACGATGAAAAGAACTTTTTCAGTAACCACAGGAAAATCGTCACGAAATTATGAAAATTCATTTAAAATAAAGAACATATTCTAACTTCATATCATTTGCTTAAATATTAAGTCTAGTGTTTGGAAAAATACGCTCTTTTTATTATCCTTGATGATATATAAATAAATTTATTTAATGCATCTTTAAAAATATCTTGTGTTTTAGGTTATTATGATTTCCATCACGTGACGAAATTCCTTAAATTAATGTTTGAAGCATATTTTTAACATTAAATTCTCAAGAAATTCTTAAAATTAATTAAAAACGTACTTACACAAACAGTATTGCACAAATAAGCAATACTGTTTCAAACCTATTACAGTAATAGCGCCTTCTTTTTTATAATGAGCACTTCAACTGAATGTCAGCAAAAGTTAGCTTTAAAAACTTTATAAAACATATTAGGCTAGGATTCAAAACAGTTGAATAAAGAAAACGGGTAAATTTGAGTTTTGGATTCCCGAAGTTTTTTTCAGGACTGTGAGATTTAAATGAGCCATCTATAGATTAAATCTTAAAAGAAAATTTGATTTGTTTACCATCATAACAAAAAAATTATTTTCAAAAACATCGATTTGTTTATATATAGTTCTTCAGTTGCTTTCAAATGCATATTACCACGCAGAAGAGGATATAAAAACACACAAACATAATATTGGTAAACTTTATTCTCTATAACAGAGCAATGCAGGGCTATCACAGTCATCGCAGTAAAGACATCCTCCAGTTACATCGTTTGATCATATTAATGATTGTGCTGTTAAATGCCACACATAATAAAAGGCAACTCGTGGTTATGAAATGACTATCAACGACTCTTCGTGGGGAAAAATGCACAGTTTTTGATCGCCATATCTCTAATTTAGGAATTTATGTTCTGCAATAAAAACTGATATTTACAAACAAAATGAAATTGGTAGTATTGTGTTGATTAATATCTTTAAGACCAATTATTATATATTCTTAATAAGAGTTTATAAATAAACTAAAATAATCATATTTTATACATATTTAATATTAGTTTATTATAAGAAATTATAGTCAATTAATAATCATTATTCTATTATATATTTTATTACAGTTATTTTCATTATAAGCAATATTTCTGTGGCTAGTTCCTTCTATATCAGGAATTATTATTTTTAGTTCAGGGAATTTCAGCTGATAGGAAATTCTTAAAATTATGTGACCAAAAGTAATTTGAAAATATTAAAATTAGGCATTATGTAAATGCAGCAAAATCAATAGAAACATTTACTATTTCTAGTTAATAAATTTATAATGATTTATATATCAATATAAAGTAATAAATACTTAATTAAATACCGTAAATCTTGAATTTTAAAAATACATTTATAGAATCTCTTTATAATATATTATATTTGAAATTTTAGTTTTACCTGTTAGATGGAGTGAATTTCTTAAATAATAATAATAATACTTTTAAGGAGGAATAACATGCTGTAATGTGATGGAATGAGGTGAATGTAGCAATAAAAGATTACAGCAGCTATATTAGGTATATATGTATATATAAGTTTTTGCATTAGGTTTCTTTTCGGAGGTGCTATAATTAGAAGGTGTTATTAAGAACTTTCTATTATACCCACTCTGGCTATTTTGATAAGATATATTATGGCATTTTTGATAAGACGTATAAGTAATTACTTCAATAAGAGAAGTAAATTATCTTGAAAATTATTAAATACTTCAGATTTTCTTAATATTTTTAATTCGTTAGAAAGTGCAAATACTTTAAAATTAATGTATTAAACATATTTCAACAAAACGCATGAAACATTTGGAAGAAAGTCTCTATAGGTTTCTTAAGAAACTAAAAAATCTATCCAAAAGATTTATAGAATATCAAAATATCGTATTTCTAATACTGCATCAGAATCTTTAAGAAACTTCAACAGGATTGAAATTTAAGTAACCAAAGCTGAGGAAGAAATTCAGAAGTTTTGATCATCAATGTAGAAATTAGGACATTGCATTATATTATCTGAACTATAATTACTTAGGAAATAATAAATCTAAATGTTTTAACATATGGATGAATTAAGACATTATAAACGCTAATTGAAGTTTTGGATTATTGCTTGGAAATTCATGCTATTTTAAAATAAACATTTAAATAGAATTTAGTTTTTATGGCACGAAGCATGTATGCGAAATGTTAGGATAAAATGCAGAATGAAATTTTGCATTTCAGTTATGGGTTTTCCGCGAGTTTATGCATTATATCCCTTTTCTTTTAAACTTTTTACAAAAGAAAATAATTCATCATCTATCAACAAAATTTGCATATGCTTTAATTTCGAAACTTAGTGATTTTCCCTTTTTACTTATAACGCATAGTATTTATATATTTTTTATGAAACTAACTCGAATTTAGATATAAAAAACAAAAATTTGATTGTAATTTTTGGACACGAGATTTCCTTATTAACATTTTTTGGTATGTTCTCATTTACTAAATATGTTTACTTGTATACGAATTGGGAAAATTTCCTAAATAATATCTGAAAGTACTGATGCATTTAAAAATGCATCAGTATTTTTGTTTTTAACTGACGATAGTTGCAATGGAAAATTAACTTGCGGGATATTTTGAAACTCCACTTGAGGAAATCCTAGACACGAATTATTAAGACACTGAATAGTTAATATTTTTATGAAATCAAAAACTGTTCATTTTTCAGGAACATTGTTCATACTTGCGTTCAAAAGGTGTATTCTATGCTGATACAAACATTTACTAGCATTATATTTACATAAAATAATTTATAAATTTTCAATAACGATTTGTCATTTCATAAAATATAACAGTCATAATTGTTTTCGTATCTCTATTTACAATCTGTTTGTAATATTTCTTAAGAAAGCATCATCAAAAGTTTCGGTTCTTATCAAACAGCTATATATGAAGACATAGAAATAATGGAACACACACATATACAGATTAGTTGAATTTCACAACATTGCATGGACGGTATGCTTTAAGAATGCCTCTAAAGTATTTGAAAAGAATGCTATAGTGGCGTGAGTAATCAGATCTGCCAATACATTCACGCATACACATTCTACTTAAATCACAACACGGGAAAATTGCTTTTTTATAGCACTAAAATCATTAAACGAGTTTTATTATGAAGTTGCATATTGTTTGATGTCACAGAATAATAGTGGTAACACATCTTTTCTAAAATTTCACCGGTTTTCTTTTCATAGAACCGTCCATTAATGAAACTATCTACTCAGTTTCTGTTCATTAACTTTGTTTCCACACAAAAACGTTAGCTTAGGACATTTACTAGCACAGTAATTTACAATAGTATATCGAATAAAAACTTAAATTAAAAAATATCCATTTGAATTTTGATGTTTCAAGACTCATATATATGATTCCTTCTGAAATAGATATTACTTTAAAATTCAAATTTAATTAATAAAATTAATAACGAAAATGAATATATAAAAATTAGTACTTCAGAATAATTACCAATATTTCGTCAATGTCTAACGTTTATGATAGGAAAAGTATTTGTCACCTTAAAATTTCCTTAATTTACCTAAAAGTTCTCATCTGAATTTAAAATAAATCTTAATTCTACAATACTGATTTCCAACCATTTAAACTACAGTTTATACAAAACTTCTTCTATATGTGCACTCGATATGCTAAGGTTAAAATTAAACCTGTTGAGAATAAATTAAATCTTTTTTATTCTACATAATCTTACTTATACTAAATTGTAGAGTGCATTAATTTATTCACTTTTTTCTATTCGAACAGGATCTATACTCATGGTATGACTAACAATAAAAGCAATAAAAATGAATAATGTTTTAGATTATTTTGTACAGTATTTTTAATGCTTAATAAGATTCAAATTAAAATATTTAAGTTTTAAGTACAACACTTTGCTGCAGGTTACTGTAGATATGGCAACTTAAAATGGTATAGCACAGGCTCTAACTCGAATTTAAAATCATTCTTCACAATGGTAATAAAGGGGAGGAGTCAGAAAATAACCTTAGTATGTCAATAAAAAATTAATACGATATATTAAAAATTGTGCAACTCTTCGGTTATCCTAGAGTTAACAGCGCGTACAGATTCACCAATCTAATGGAAATTAAAATGACATAGCGTATACTTGGAAACCTGGCAAAAAGAAGGATGGGCAGTTATGACATGTTAATGTACTTAAGATGGAAAATCTACTAGGCATTTATTGGTGTATGAAGAAGCAGATTTAGGAACGCCGTTGAACCTCTTTATTAGGTTTCTGATTGAAATCCTTTAACAGCATTCTTCAATAAGAAGTATGTTTAGCAACCAATCAGAGGAGACATTTTCTTGTGGTATCTAAACGTTAATAAATTCCTAACACAACCGACAAGAACGTGATTAAAGTTATTTAAAAATGTTTAAGAATTTTCATTTCTGTCTATGCACATTTTCCGAACAAAACATATTGGGGCTACTTTTTGGCTCCTCCTCATTCAATGTGATGTATGAAATACAATAGGTTACCTTACATTTGTTTGTTTTAACTTGCACATTACGCCAGTATCACCCAGATGTCAGGTGATTTAACTTGTACATGTACAGAGTACTCACTTTCATGACCGATGACTTAGTCTTTTCAGAATACGTAGTTTCGGAACTGTTGTGGCCAACAACTGAATCACTAAAACTGAAGATGAATGATTGAAGTATAAAAATGGATGAAGGAGTATGAATATACAACCAAGGAATAACTTTCATTATCCAATGAATTAGATTCTTAAAACATCTAAATTTGTAGATTGTCTTTCAAACCACTGAAAGTCTCTTAAACAATGCCTTGGGGGAGTTTTGAACTAGTGTTTTCTTCATAGTGCGCACTTCTTAAATATAAACACCAGAAAATTTAGTGCATATTAGCTGTCGAATTTCTTCGAAGGTCAGTAACTTGATAAAATTATTTTTATCGCCATAACCTGAATAATTTTCCCTTAGATGCTTGCCTCTTCGTTGGAGGAGGTTCAATGTTTTCAGACTGAGATTTTTGTTTCTTATCTTCTTGTTCTTGAGTTTTCAATTTTTTCATTACTTGTTCGTCTAGCAGTGTCTCCATATCCAACTAAAAAAAAAAGATAAATGTGTTTATATAAGTAGGAACAATTAACTACAGATTAAGAATATAGATTCCTATTTTTAGGAAAGCAGTTTTTTTAAATATTCAACTACTTTTAATACAGTTTAACTTCGTGTAATTTATACACACTCTGTACATAAAATCATTGCGCGGCCATTATTTTCGCAATCGTTAGTCATAGACATAAATAGAGGGAAATTGAAATTATATAAATACTTCCGGCTACAACTTTTCTTCGATCCCTATTCTTAGGAAAATTTTGCACGCGTCATAAACAAAATTAAACACAAAAAGCTTGACTATCAGCAAGCTTGACGTACGACAAAAACTGGCCGAGATATTTGATATTAAAATTGGAAAATATATTCAGGGGCCGTACAAAAGAACGAAATGTTAGCATTTGTACCGAACTAAAAATAAAATACCATTTAGAAATACTTTTCTGACGTTAAGAGATTACGTGACAAGCATTTCAATGCAAATTATTTTGAAAAATATTAATCAATATGTATTTTTTTTAATGGAGGTGTTATTCACAGAATATTACAGAATTTGTATTCTAAAAAACAGCAGCTCTCAACATTGGCACCTAGCCAGCTCTTAATATTACTTGCATTTATTAAAATGAAAAACATTTCTATTTAAGTCAATGAAGATCGATGACATTAAGAAACTTTTAAAGGTGATTGATTCCCGAGAATTAGTTCTGTGCTTTTCAGAGAACAATGCCTCACCTTCCATTGCTCTAGCTGTTGAGACAGTTCTACTTTTTGTTGTACAGCTTCCATGAGTTGGCTATTAATATGCATGACATCGATTCTGGTCTTAGCCAATTCTATTTCGACGGCATTTTTCCTAGAAGGTGAATAAAATATATGTTAACCAACATATTTTGAAAAGAAATGTAACTGAACAAGAAGCATGGCATTCATAATTAATCCTTTAACTTAGCTAGTTCCTCTTTTTAATCATGAAAGTGTAATGTTCATAAATTTATCAATAAGAAACCTACCACATACACATAAATTCTGTCAGCATATGCGATCTCGGCTATTAAAATAATAAATATTGTATTTTATTAAATTACGATCTACATATAACATAATTTTTTATTTTTGGTAATTATAAATAATTTAGAAAGATGTATTTTAATGTGGGAAGAAATTAAAAGCTCTGTATTGAAAACTATATTCAGTATACTAAGAAAATTTAAATGTCTTAAATTTATTGTTTAATTTTTAACCCAAATAGTCAGACATTGTATACTTGCTTCGCTTCTTTTCAAGCATTACATCACCAAAAATAAATAAATAAATAAATACTAGAAATATTTTTAAAACTTTAAAATTTTCGCAGTTAAAAAAACGTAATTAAAATAAAATTACTATAGGTTCATTCCGTGCTAGCTATTCACTGATGCCCTGATTTATACTTTTACATAAACGGCAATTTTTATACTAGTGTTTTACAATTAATTAACGTTACGTGCATGAATAATACACTTTATTAAATATAATTTAGTTTACGTTCCTAAGTAAATATTTATTTTCTGGAAATATATACATCAGTAACAGAAAAATAGCATTAGCGTTCCCACATTATAAATCAGTTTAATAGATGTTAATTGAATAAGATGATTTATTTCTCTTTACCTTGCCACAGCTTGGTCTCTGACTTCCCATGCCTTTTTGACAACTTGATCTTTGGCTAGGGAGCTGTTTTCGACGTCACTTTTGAGTTGATCTCGACTTTCTCTAAGAGCAGTCAACTCAGTCTCTTGAAGAGTTAACTGAAAGATAAAGGCAGCCGTGAATGATTCGCTTAAAAGTATTACCATTAAATTGTAGTATGTTTACAGAATGGTTTTTATTCTCCCAAAGGAAAAAAAAAGTTATGTGTCTTATTCCCAGGACATAAGTTCCAAGAAAGTTTTTTTTCAGTATAATATGTTCAGTATTATTAGCATCATTATAAATATTATTTATTTGAGTAAGTTATACAATGTCTCTATATAGGAAGCAATTTAAGCATGGCAAAGAATTAAAACCTTCTATCATTTCAGAGATGTACACTTACTACATAAAAATTTACATTATGTGAAAAAATCTTTATTTATTAAATAAAAAGCACGAGGAAAAAATTTTTTGGATTTGAATTTTCATACATCTGTAATGATATAACAGCACTAAGTTAACTTAAAAGTAACATAAAAGCAACTTAAAGTACGTCTGGAAAGATAAATTTAAACTCTTGTTTAAATAAACCTCAGCTTATTTTTGTAAAAGAATTTAAGATTAGTTTTTAAAATAGATGTAGAACCGTGTATTAATAAGCAAAACACAAATTCTGTACATTTTATTCTTAAGTACATCTAAGATGAATACACAAATTACCCAAGAGAAACACTTAAAGGCATTTCATTTACATACGTAAATATATGTGCCCCAATAGGTGCAGTCTATACTTTATAAGATAATTTATTTTAAATGCGGAAATCATATAATCGCAGAGGTTAGACACACAGTACAAGTATTTAGGACAGTCTTTTATTAATTACGTATATGTATAAAATATTAGTAATATATAATATAAGACAAACAAAAAAACGACGCACCAAGAAGGAGTTATCTGAATGGGATGAAAGTCGGTAGAAAAGATGTACATGTACAGAAAAACAAATGATTACAGTTTAATAAAAATTGGATGATTTATTGAAGTGATAGAGCTTCACAAAGTGAAAAAGTCAGTAAATCGTTTGTCCACCTTGGCCCTAATGTAAGCAATTGTTCGGCTTGGCATCGATTGATAGAGGTTGCGGATGTCCTTCTGAGGGATATCGTACCAAATTCTGTCCAACTGGCGCGTTAGATCGTCAACATCTCGAACTGTTTGGAGGGCCCTGCCCATAATGCTCCAAATGTGCTCAATAGGAGAGAGATCCGGCGACCTTTCTGGCGAAGGTAATGTTCGGCAAGCACTAAGGCAAGCAGTAGAAACATGTGCAATGTGGAGGCGGGCATTATCTTGCTGAAATGTAAGCCCAGAGTGGCGTGACATGAAGGACAACACAAAGAGCCTTAGATCTTCGTCGATGTACTGCTGTGCCTTACAAGGTACAAAATTACAAGGTTGCGAGGGATGACAACCAAAGGGGTCCTACTATGAAATGAAATGGCACCCCAGACTATCACTCCTGGTTGTCGGCCTGTCTGCCGGAAGACAGTCAGGTTGTATCCCACCGCTGTCCGGGGCGTCTCTAGACTCGCCTTCGCTGGTCATCGGGGCTCAGTTCAAAGCGGAACTCATCACTGAAGACTATTTCACTCCAGTCAATGATATTCCAGTACGAATGAGCCCGACACCAATGCAAACGGGCTTGACGTTGTACGGAGGTCAATGGTAGTCGGCGCAAGGGGCGCCGTGACCAGCCCCCTTTCTGTGAGCCGTCTATGAATGGTCCTTGCGGTCACTGAAGCATTAGTTTCACGTACAACCCCGATGATAATGATGCATCTGGGACTGTGAGTGTCGCTCTGACGATTGCTCGGTCTTCACGTTCTGTCGTTTCTCTAGGCCTAACGCTTCTTTCCTGACGCTATCTGCGGCCATGGTTCACCCATTCCTGCCAACATCATCTAATAGGGGCATCGCTTCTGCTCAAATGTCGAGCTATTCGCCGGTAAGACCAACCGCTTCTTTGAGCCCAACTACACTACCTCTCTCAAATTCTGACATCTGCGTATATCGTTCGCTCACCTGTATGCCAGGCATAGTTTCTGTCTACCAGAGTACACGGAATGAAATTCGTGAAGAATTTATGATTTGTAATCGTAATCTCTCCTCTTAAATATCCTGCCAGTTGCGCAGATCAGATGCGCTGTAGTGACAACCGTTCCTTCATTGGCAGCCAAAATGTAAAATCTTGCATTTTCCGTTGAAACCTGTATGCATATCAATTTGTGTCCAATTTGCTTTATATCTTCTCGATGCGTCGTGGTGTGTCGAGGTATGTCGTGGGGTTTTTTTTTTTTTTTTTGTCTAAGAGTGTATATAAAATTATTAAATAAATAAATAAAGTCACAGAAAGCCAATATTCTACTTGCAAGTAATCATGGAATCAGTTTATTAGAATCAGAATTTATATATTAAAGATTCGACAAAGGATCTTATTGTTACCGAAAATTTTTAAAATGCTATTAAGGTTTCGAAATTATTTATTAAAAAACGTTAAATTTATGTCCGTTTTAAGTAGCTCCACTTAGACATTGACAAGCACAATATTAGAGTTATCAATTCGGAGATAAATGTAAGATCTTCTTTTAGTTTTTAAATGATTAAATATTTATATTAGTTTAAAAATTCAGAGATAAATGTAAGATCTTTTAGTTTTTAAATACTTAAATATTTATATTAGCTTAAAAATTCGGAGATAAATGTAAGATCTTATGTCACGGGCACTGGCAATGGCTTCTCTGTCACGATCAATTAGTATTTTATATATATCTTAAAAGCAACTATGCATCTTTCGTCAACTAAAAATGTGTTTACTTTGGCAGTGAGCTGAGATATTTCTTCTGTCTTTCTCTTTATTTCTTCATTTTTCTCGACGAGTTCCTTTTGTACTTTCTCCAACATTTCTCGATCTTCTGCTATACTTTGGCAAGAAAGACACATCTAAAAGAGATAATATTTTATCTTAGATTAGAATATAATTTCTCATACATATTTCGTAAATCACAGTTGAAGACTGAAAAAAGAATGAACTCCAATTAAAATGCAAAGCAGAACTATGATTATCCCAAAAATATGTTTTTCTTTAACATCTTCCACGAGAAATAAGAAATTTCCGGCAAGTGATAACGGTAAAGCTAATGAATAATTTTAGAAACCTTAAATTAAGTTACATCATTAGAAATAATAAGTTCTTGAAAATTTTCGTTTCATAGTTTTTAAAGGTCTTGAGCATTTGGGCTTTCAAACATAGTGTTCATATTATTTGTTCCTTTATACTTATGCTTAATTTGCAATTGCAATACAGAAAGTTATAGCATTTTGCGGCAGTTAATGTAATTTTTGCCATGTTATTTTAAACGCAAACTAGCATTCGCAAGCACTTAGTAATTTATTTATAAACATCATATATTCTTTTACCAAGTAATTTTAATATTTATAAAATAATGCTACCAAAACCGAGAAAACTAGTCAATCAGTATATTGCCCATTTCTCGAATAATTGTATTTTGAAATGATAAAGATGGGAATCAATATTTTCACCAATGCACAGCATTTTAGTTTCACTCAAAATTAGGATAAAAAAGGAACTCGATTAGTTGCCTTTAAAAATACAGACGATCAGAAGACCATATCCTATAATATAGCTATAAGGCTCTCAACATCCAAAAGATTTGTTATGTAATTTTGAAAGAAAATATTTTGACAAATAGATTCATGAAAAATCTATTAATAGGATTTCAGAAAATTTATATAAAATAATTCCCTAAAGTTATTAAAACAGTGTTCAACTATAAACCCCATTGCCATCGTAAAAATTAAAGATCACTTGCAGATGATTTTGTAAAACATTTTCGGCTGACGAAAGTGCAAAAGTAGGGTTACATTAGATGGAACGTCATTTATTTGTCAAATTACGATAGAAAACGGGAATATTTTCTTTAAAAAAAGCTAGAAATAAAACTTTTGAACTGGAGTTTGAAGAAACAATCAAAATGTTTCTAAGAACGTTTTCCATGCTTATTAATAAGCCCATGTCTTACAGCCCTGATATTCTTCTTCAAACTTTTCTTGTACTGCATGATGAATATTAAAAAGAAAAGAGAAAGAGAGAGGCATTATCAATCTTTAAAAGTACAACATCGTAAAAAATTCCATTTTTTGTAAATTAAAGAAATATAAATAATTTATTACTCTATTTAGCCACGTATTCATTAAATCTTCTTACTCTTTTCAATGGAATTTTGCATTTTTGATCTTTTTGCTTGAATCATGAAAAGATGATTGCTTATTTTTTAGAGGGCGTGCAAATGTGACGCAGCTTTCTGAACCTGACTCGAACATTTAAAAAAAATATTTATAGACAGAACATTCTATAGACAACCAACGTTTTTAGACAGAACATATTAAAAATCCCACCTACGGTTTAAATTAAAACCACATTAGTGCTCTAATTTTTCTTGTAGTCTTCTATCGTCATCATTTTGCAAGTTCAATTAGTTACTTTCAAGTAAATGGAACAATTAGTACAAGGGCAGGAAATTTTGTAAGAAATAAATGCAATGATAAACGAGCGAATGCTAAAGAATGTAAAAGCCATTTACATTCTTTAGCATTTACTTTATTATTTTAAATATTGGCAATATATTGCCAATATTTAAAATAATAAAGTAGTCAGTCAACCTAAGATTATATACATTCTGAAACTGAACAGAATGTTTATTGATTTAGTTAAGGGACATTTAATTTTTGAACTAACATGTTCGCTCTAAAACTTTACTTGGAAAGAATCCAAATTCAAAACGTTAATCACTTTTTCGATCTTATTCACCGATTTGTGGTAATTATCATTATTTACCAAATATTATCCAAAAATTGTCTTTTATACAGTATGTCTTTATTTTAGTCATAAAGATATCCTATAAGAAGGCAACATCTGCTACAAGAATTTTTTAATTGTCTGAATAATAATTACACAGTTGTACTAAACAATGATATAAATTTATGAAGTAATAAAAGATTGAATCTGTAATGATGATCAGTTTTTTTCTTCGAATAATGATACAAGTATGGTCTTACGGCTTCGTCCTGCGAGAGTAGAACTTCTTCAATCAGGTTTCCAAGTTCCTTAGTAATTGCTGTTAGCATTCCGAGTCGAATTTCACTGGCTTGTAACTCTTCCGGAGAGTGAGATATTCCACTGTCTGCTGAGGAATAATTATCCCTTCTTCGTCGAAGATCTTCGCAAAGCCTCCTTAGTTGCCGATAGATAGGAACGAGCTCTTCACGAAGCTAGAAAAGGACACAGATTAAATCGAAGATGTTAAGCAAAGCTAAGTAATCTCTTTATCGTGCTCATCAAAAAATATATAAAATCGAACAGAAAATATGATTAGTTTCTTTGTAGATAAACGTCATATTGCTCGCTATATTAAAGACTTCAATTTAATTAAAATTTAACAGCTTGCTCCGTGATAATTTTTAAATATTTCACAAATTACAAAATATCTACGTCTCGTATAATATTAGAAATAAGTTTTAATACTTATCATAAATTTTTCTGGATGATTCTAAAAGACAAATCTGTCTGGAACATTTGTGACATTTGTTTTAAGTTTCACTAACAATAAAGTTTAAGTTAAAATTTATCCTGTCTTTCCTTTGGTTAACATCACGTATATTTGATTAGTTCAGGAAATGTAAAACACGTGTAAGAAAGCTTTAATATGAACGGATGTTAAGTCATGTCTTGTTGCATGCAGAAGTGCTTTCTTTTGGTGATTGTTCGCATCAGTACAGAGGCAACTTAGTGTGTTTGGAAAGGAATTAACTAGTATTGTTTTAAGGTCCCATTGGTCCCACGTCAAGTCCCATTGTCGTTGTAGGTAGTGAATGAACCCCTTCTGCATTGGTTAGACAAAGACAAAACCAAGTGTCTAATTAAGGTTTCTAAATTTCAATAGTGATAAAAAGAGACAGTCGCCTGATTCTTATAAGCCATTGAAGATAAGAAATCGATCATTTACTTCATAATTCTCTCTTACGTGGTAACCCACTAGGAGTGGTCAAGTAAAAGTTGTTTGATTTTAATATATGACTATCTACATTACAATTAAAAAGTACGTAGTCATCTGGGTGGACGATAATTCATTGATATTTAGAAAATAATTCTCCGTAAAATACTTAAATGAGCAGATTTAGTTAAAGTTTCAAAATTACACAGTCGCAAATAAGCTAAAAGTTTTCAAAGTCATATGTTTAATCTAAATCCGTTGTTAAACTTTCATGCAAATATGGCTTCAAGAAGCATACAAATCGTGTTCGGAATTTAATGGACAGAAATATTTATTTTATTTCAGAAGCAGTACGTTAGTTTAAGACTGAAAATTTTAAAGCAATGGCTAAATTTCTCTCATCAATCTACTTTCTGTATATAAACAAGAAAACATTGTGTAAAATCATTGAGTAGCATTGATATTAAATACAAATCTTGATAATCATTTAAAGAAATATAAATAAAATTCAACACAATTTAGCTTTCATAGTACTGAGAATAGTTTTAATCTCCATAAGTTCAATGTGAAAGAAATAAAATCGTTGATTGAAAAAAGAAAGAAAAAGTAAAAAATTTTGCTACGTTTTATTTATTTTTACGTTCTATTTAGGAAATTTATTTAATATTCACATAACTCGAGAAGCTCAAAATTTCGCGATAGCTTTACGTCCGTTTGTAAATTTACACAAAATAAATATTTTTTTTTTCATTTTCCGTATTTGAATAAAATACGTTGCATGTTCAAAATTAAAATCTGCTCTTTCTTTGATTCCCTAAATTCATTTTATTTAACACTGCTAGGAAATTTGGTGCCATGGTCAGTCGTCGTCAGATCGTTGGCCTGATTGGCAAAAATACATTTGAGATTTCAGGCACAATTCGTTGTAAATACCTAATTGGGTCGTTTCAAAAGCAAAAGTCGTTGCAAAAGCATAAATAACATTTCATTGAAAAGTTAGATTCAAAATAAAATCTGAAGAAAAGGTTTTTGCGTATCTGGCTACAAAATTCATAAATTAATAATTAATTAGTATGTAATTAGAATTTCATAAAAAACTGATAAATTTAAAATTTTGCCTTCATATATTTTATATAATTTGTGTACTGATATGTGCCACGGAATGAACTAGAAGATTACAGAATTAAGTTCAAAGCAATACCTTCCACGTTTCTTCTGTGTCCATTGCAAGAGGTAGGTCTGAATCATCGCATTCGATCTCATCTTCAGGAAAATCTCCTTGGAATCCGATGGATGAACCGGGATGTGAAAGAAACTTAGGACGTCCACACTACGTGAAAATACAGTAATGAAAAATAGTGCAGGAAGGAATAACATAGTTTTCAGTATTAAAAAAAGAAAAATTATAAATATATTCTAGGTTAATAGATATCATGAAATCACGCTAGCTTTAAACAAGACTAAAATTTATATGCGGCCTTATGTTATTGAAAAGAAGAATGCTGTAAAGATTTCAAGAGATAAATTAGTTTGAATGTTTTTTCAAAATCAAGGTGTCAGGTTGTTACTTGAACGAAGTTTCATGTTACACTCTATATCGAAATATTTCTGGATTAGACCGTCTCTTGAAAGGCGCAGAACTTTTCTGCTTGAAATTAACGCAAAATTAAAAATGGGTTTGCTTTTTTTTTTTTTAAACAACTATAGATTTTTGAGTCTTAAAGTATTAACAAACAACAGAGGATTTGAAGTGCATTGAAAACAGAAAATTTTTTATTAGCACAATCGCATTTTGGACATTGAAAATTGAAATAATTTAGATAGCCGTACATTAAAGTTCTTAAACTTTAATCGTCAAAAAGAATATTTTAAAACATTCGAAAAAGGAATTAGTAGGAGCAAATCCGTTAACAAGTTAGAAGAGGCCCTATGATTAAGCTTCTAAGAAAAATCTTTGCTGCCGATTCCTATTCTTAAAACAAAAGTTTGAGAAAACATTTCGTCATAGGATATATAAATCGACTAAACTCTTAACCCAACCACATTTGTTTTTAGTCTTTTCAGCAGTAACTAAGTGAAATAGAATCTCTTAGCAGATAAAACTTTTTTACTGCATTTTAAATTCCGGAAGATTAGCGGAAAGTTTCGTTTGTTTTTAATTTTTTTCGCAAATATATACAACTGACTACTGTTAAACGTACACAATGAGAATTATTCTCTGACGTATTAAATTAATTATTATCACATCAAATTAGAATATGTGATGTAATACACTTAATTACTCCGTGAGATGGCTTCCGCGAATCGGACGAAATCTTTATAGTTTTCGCTCAATCAAATGTACAGGTAACTAACTGCACATTGTAGAACAAAATGAGAAAGAAATTTTACTGAAGTATAAGTACAATTATGCATATTACTGATTATTTGAAGTTTTTTGGAAAACATTTTCCCTCTTTTTCTAATATTAATTGTTGTTGCTAGCATCACACCACAACTGCACTTACATAATACTGCAAAATAGTTATATTAAAAGAAGGAACTCAAAAGAGCAACTAATGTTAAAACTATAAATGACGAAAATAAGTTTATTACTTAAATGATTACCGAAGGGAAGAATAAATTCAAATCTGTTATCAACAAGTAATGATCCATATGCAATTTTGTTTTTATCCAGAGTGTAACCCGCAATTCAAACTGATTATTTACAATTAGTAACTTCTGTTTACTAAAACAGTCCGTAATAACCATTGCTCTCATCGCAAGAAAAGAAAGTATTTGTGAAAGATACAGTCAAGCATACGTAATTTAATGTAAAATTATGTAAAAATGTATTTGAACTGTTCGTGAAAAGAGATAAACATCAAGGACAATTTTTATAGAACTAATTTTTGCCGTATTTAGAATATCATACTTTGATATAATGTTATCCATGTAGATATTTACTTCAATCTTCAAAAATCTCAGAAAATTAATATGCCTATTAACAGCAGCATCTTTTAAATGCAAATAATTAAACAACTGACAGATTTTTTCATGAAAAACAAATAAATGCAAAAAGTTTGCATACTTTAATAAAGTAATTAAAAATTAATGAAATGTAATAGATTAGTTTAAAGACTCTGAAATCGTCGAAATGTTTTGTGAACGGCTTTGTCAAAATTTTCCTTATATCTAAAATTATCAAAAATAATGATGTTAAATATGGATTACATGAATATGTGCTACAAATTACACTTCCCATTAAATAATTTAAAATCAAAATCTGATTACCTGACTTGGAGATCGGAGTTCGTCTTCGACCGATGACTGAGAGGACATTTCGATTTCGTTGAAAAGAGATGGTTTATCACCGTAAGTTGGAGTACTAGAACGCCGAAGCATAATTTCTAGCTTGTTTTGCAGCTGACTGTTCGTCTGTCGAAGCTCGTCGATGTCCCTCTGTTGCATTCTCAGCTGGTAAAAAAAAATGAAAATTCAATAACGTAGTCATTATAAACTGCCTTAAAATATAAATATTTATATTGCTCCAGTTTTATAAAAAAAATTCTGCATGAGCAGCAGGGATCCGAGATTTGAATCTTGAATCCGATTAATTTTTGAAAAGAATGGGATATTAATCGTACAAAATTTCATTGCACTTCACCATAATTCAAATCTTTAAATTTTTAAACTAAAATTAATTGCTTAACTCAAAATTTTCGAACGATCAGTTTATAAGGTATTTTCCTCGTTCGTAGTGTGGTGGTCTGCACGCTGTGCGTGTATTCCAGAGGTCCGTGGTTCGATTTCCGGCAAACGCGTTGCTCATTTTTCATCTTGCCTGCTTCCAGAAATATCTAATGTCTCTACACGTTTTACTGAAATTCAGTAAATACGTTCAATAAAAAAATATAAAAAACTCAATTTTTGCAATTTCAATAACACCTGAAAGACTAATATCCCACCCGAAGCGGCCTGGATATCTATAGTGCACTGCAAGTGTGTTTAAGAACTAAAAAAAACAAACAGTTTTTTATATTCATTAATTTTCGAAAGATAATCAAGCTTTTCATATTTAGTGTTTATCTATATATCTTCACCCCTTCTTCTTTTGCTTTTATTTAAAAAGAATATAGAATATTCGTAGATTTTGAATTACTATTTCTCACTAACACAACAAGGCAATTTGCCCAGAAGGGCTTTGCGTAGTCCACTATAAAACGACGTTTCACTTTTCAAATTGTTGCCACCAAATATTAGAGCTATGCATTATATTTGAAGAAATTAAATGAGGAAGAATCTGCACGAATGTATGTATGTTTCTCGCATTGTGAAAATACAACGGTACATAGAGTCATCAAATTTTGAATAACTTAGTCCTCCACTCGAATATAGGCATCTGGAAGCCCAAATTTGGAATCGATTTCCTATTTCATGAAACTTTAACGAATTTCTTATTAATAAACTCAACTATTTCAAAGCGAGCAATGGCAACACTGTGCGAGAAAACACATTTTTATCTCCAACGCGCGAGACTGCGAATCTGAAATTCTAAAGATATGCTCTTTTTAAATATTTTGTGATATTGCTGTTGAATTAAATTTTATGGTTTAAGTGAGTAGAACATAATATTTAATACATAAAAGCAACATACAAAATGTTAAAAAAACGCCCGTAATACAAAATCTGAAAGCTTTCAGATTATTTTTTTTTCAAATTAAGTTAAAATTGGTTTCTAGATTCACGATTTTCAATAACATACTTACTAATAACTAATAGTAACTTACTAATAGTAACTTCGCTTACTAATTTATATTTGTCTCTTCTTGATAAATGTTTTTAAAAACTGTTTTCTTATATTTGTGTTTCATTAAACGCAAATTTCAAATTTTGCTTTAATGAGAATCTTTTAAGTAAAGGTCTTCTTCCTTTCTTTTTCATACAGTTTTACACGAAGAATTGGGTAGACTGGAAAACGCTTTAGGATACGCTTTCGTGAAAATTTAGGGTTCACTTCACCTCAATTTAAAAAGGTGCCTAAAACATGATTCCGTTCAAATAATGCAACTAAAAATATCTGACTTTCTTATCATAGAAAATTAATGTAACAAATTACGTTAGTTTAGAAGTATTATTCAAATAGAATTTTCTAACCTTGTTATATAATTAATTTTTAGTTACAATGTTTGAAGCTCTGTACATTTTGACTCACAGCTTCAACTATCATTCCGAACAAAATTCTCATTTCTATGCTAAGTGCGAATGGCAGATATGGATTGGGAAAAATCTCTTCTTCCAACAAAGCAGGAAATTTAAATCTAATAGCTAATAATAATCAAATTATAATAAACAATTACCTGTTGTTCTTGTTCCCTGTTCTGCCTTTCCAATAACAGAATTCTATCACTGGATTCTTCTAAAGACATATTCAAACCTTCTCTTTCGTCACTCAGAGCAGATATCCGCCTCTCCAGTTCGTATTTGCGTTCGGATAATAAGTTAATCTGTAATTAATAGGAAGAACTTGATTTTCGGTGCGTTACACAATATTTCAGACTTATTTTTTCCAATATATTGAATAATCGTTTTGAGGGCATAAGAATTGTTTTATATTCTTTTCAATAATTGTTGAAACTAATTAAAATCAAAGTAATTATTTTTTCTTTTGTCGAAATTATTCTTAAGCAATGATTAGACATTCATGAGGTATGGTTTTCTTAGTTTAACTTCGAACTGTACTTCTTATTATAATAAATCCTTTCTAGTAGTTCTGTTTACAATTATCATTGTATAAATTTCATTAACATAAAATTTTCAGAATGTTTCACATTAATCTGAGTTGTCTGAGCATTTCAGACACAGAAATGAGTCTTTATGAATTAATAAATGCAATGTATATTCTTTCTTGAAGAATTTGAAAACCAAAATACTGTCACGCACGGGACTACTTGTAAAAGGGGTAAGTAAGCAAACACTACGCTAAGCAGGGGTTTTTTAAATTTTTATCATAATTTTCAATAAATATGATTTTTATAAACGGGCCATATTATGTAAGCACACACAGTGTCTTGCCGAAATGAAGATAGTTTTTTACAACTCAACAAAAATGTCTTAAACCATACGATGGAATATGTTATAAATGATATCGGGGCAAGATGTAACACGCTACAGCTTGTCTCGAGATTTTGATTCACATAGTTAAACTTCTTTAAATGGTAACATGAAAATTACTTTTTTTTTCAGTTACCTTTTCCAAATTATAAAAATAATTATTTCACACTCAAAGATTAGACCTTTCACTAAGGCTTCACCTCGGAAGCAGTTTAATAGAGGCCAAAGAAAAAAAAATAATAATAATCTGTTATCCTAACTGACACGCTCAAAAACGAAGCAGTGGAAAAAGAACATAAAGAGATATTTAATAAGAACTTAAAAAAAAAGAAGAAAAAGATAAAGAAAAGGTTTGATAAAGGAAAAGGTTTAAAGAAAAAGTTCCGAAAAGTAAACGGAGAAATAAAATGGGTAAAGAAGAGAAATTTGAGCTCAGATAGGGATTTTGAAATAGAAAAATGGTTTTACTTAATTTATGAAGATGATTAAAACAACTCTGATGGAAAACGAATGACTGCCATACTTAATTTGCAAAATGCGGGCACAGTCTAAATTCAGCAGAGGAAATAATCTATAAATTTTTGTGCTAACTGAAATTCTGATGAAGACTATTATGTTCATTGTTTTAATAATTTTATCTTTGTTTCACTATATACCACTTGATATAATTCACTGCTTTTATATCAGATAATAATAACCACCAAAAGTTTTTAAATGTAATCATTTTAATTGTTACTATTTGCCTTAGGTCTGTTACGGAACAAATTGTTGAATGGCAGACGAAAAGTTTTGGCAAAATATGTTTTTGGTGCTAAAATCACTAAAATTGCTGAATGTTTGTTTTAGGAATATGATGAAGGGAATACGTTGCTATGCATCAGTTACAATACAGGAATAGGCAAATATAAGCATTTTCCCCAAAATTGTTCAACGAGCCCTTAGCTCCCCTTACTGTTAATACCAAAATAGCCTAAAATACTAATAACCATGAGAAATTTAAGAAACGCGAAATCTTTCAGTAAAAGTAAAATGAATAATATTTCAAACATAATAAATAATTAATTAATTTTAATAAGAGCTAAAGAACTGAATAATCGTTTAATAATAATAATTTTTAAAAGAACACTAACTTAATAACGATAAAAGAAATAATTTCTTAATTTCAGAAAATTGAAATATCTCTAAATTAAACAATACTTTTCTATAAATTAATATATAAACAATAATTTAAGAGTGATATTTCAAATTATTTCAATATATATATCCGTATATAGATATCTTCCATGTACATAGTAACTTTACATACTATTACGTAACAGTAAAATAGCTTCAAAAAATTTCATCTAAAAATATTAGAATTAAAAAAATTTTCACAAATTATTTATTAATCCGCAATAAAATAATATCCGCAATAAAATCTAAAACATGATATGATTTTTTTTAACGATTACTGTCACTAGTTTGTTCCCAAGAACGTAACACTAGATTTGAAAAACAAATTTTCTTTAAAAGGTAATGTCGCCTAAAATGGATGCAAAGTTTTATTTTAAAGAAGACTAACCGGTTGTTGCTTTAGTCATGCTGAGATTGTTTTCAATTTAAATACTCTCTTAAAAAATAAAAATGCAGATTAAGATAAAAAAGGAAGTAGTAGAATGTTAGGTATCAATGAGAGAAATCACTGCGTTCTGGTCCTGTCATTGAAGAGAATATTTATTATAGGTTTTATTTGTAACTTCCTCTTTATTTTATGCTGCCAATGATATGCTGTTTACTAATAAAAGTTTCAAGTTTCTGTTTTATTTTATGCTAGTTACAAATCTGGCGTATCCTTTGAAAGGCTGTCTAATACACTATCATAGCTGGAGAGTATTTAAAAAGTAGATTTTATGAGCTTATGAATTGAGAGAGAAAAAGAAACTACCTCGTCATTAAAATTTAAGAAAAAGTTTCAAATAGATAAGCTGATAATAATTCATTATTCTTGACTTATTAATTGAAACTTACAGGTACGAAAACAAAGCAGCAGAGATTCTTGTTGAGTAATACGGAAGCTTTTAATAATAATATAAGATGAAATTTAGGCGATTCATTTATTGTTGAAGAGATTTTTTTTATTTTTCTTTTATACCTGGTTATATTGAACATTTCACTCAACACTGAATTTCATTAGGTTTTTATACACTGTTTTAAAATGGAAATGTTTAAAAGAGAAAATATTTACAACCTTATTTCCTTGTTTTGAATCTGTTTACTGAAAATTTTATAATTCTGATAAAGATTTAAATTATCTCCTTTTTATGGTCCACCCACATGAGTGGTGATATTAAATACAAATTTTATATTTAAAAAAAATCAAATCTGTAAAATTTAAAATCGAAATGTATAAGTTCAGATGCCTGAATTGATTGCATTTCTTGAGTTCATTATGTCGCAGTTATTACACGTTTTAAAGAAAGAAACCTTTGCTTTTAATTATAATCATGTATTGGGTAACGCAAATTATTAGAGATGCGAAGTACCGTTGCGGAGACTTGATGAAATTTTTGATTCAACATTCTCTAGTGATCAGGTCTTTATTCAGTTTTTAAATAATATAGAGTATTAATAAAGACTACGAAAAATAATACATACTTAGCATTATCACATCAATTAAACGCCAAAAAGCTTGAAATTCTAGATTCGGAGCTTGACAAAATGATCTCTTAAAGACTTACAAGTGATCTCTCTGCATCAAACGTATAAATGAGAAATGTATAGAATCAACATCTGAATACTGGAAGATATGATTTAAAATGCTAATAAATATAGATAAGTGATGAGTGTTAGGAACTACATTATTATTAAAATGTGGAGCTATAATTTCCTATTAGTAAAGAAGAAAGTTTCAAGATAATATTTTGTGATGCTTTTGAAATATTTTAGCGTAGCATTTCTCAATCTGTGTCCACAGACCAGACGTGGTCCTCAAAAATATGCCATTGTGGTCCTAATATATTTCCCCCAAAAAAGACAAAAAAAAAAAAAAAAATTCAAATTAACTGCGTATATCCCATCATATCTGAAACTCTACAGCTTGGAAATTGCACATAAAAATCTTTTATAAATATTTTTCTCCCTTAAAACTAATATTTTGTAAAATTTATTATGGTTACTCGACTACGGACTTCCCACTCTAGTCTCAGCACCAAAAGAGGGATTGAAGGGGCAAGAGCAAGGCGGTCCGCAGAATATTCTAATTTACAAAAGTGGTCTCCACTTGAAAAAAAAATTGAAAAACGCTGTTTCAGTAGGAAAACAAATGAAATGAAATTAAATATTCTAAACTTAAAATCAATGACATTGATAAGCGAACCTTAAATATACTATTTCTTTCGAACATAAATAGGAATTCTTTTATATTGAAATTAGTGTTTAAATATTCCTTTTCTCTAAGCTAATGTATTCTATTGCAGCTTGTTCTTTTTTCGTAATTTATAACTGTTTCTATTTTATTTATATCTACTGCAGTAAAGTTTGCATATATCCTGTTTTTCTAGTCGATGCAGCGTATAACAGATTGCCTTTATAAATTTAAACAAGCTTCTCTTTGCCTATTTTTACTTTAGATATAAGTATGGGAGGAAGTAGTTAGTCATTCTAGCAGGAAAATTTAAGACACGACAAAAAACCGGAGAAAAGTCGTATACATGTCACCAATAAGGCATGCTCATTTCCTGCCTTCAGGGTAAAGTTTATTAATATTAATGCTCTCACCTCTTCACGAAGGCCTTCCAGTTGTGACACATGATCATGAAGGTTGGATCTCCGCACGTTGAATTGTTCCCGTAGAGCTTGAAGTTGACTTTGGAGTTGGTCTTCCGTCCGCGCCGCCTATAATTGTAAAATAAAATGTGATAATTAAAAATGTGTGAAAATATCATGCAGAAAGTAATGGATCATCTGAACTTAGTTTAGCGGATACCACGCCCTGTTACTGAGACAAAGAAAACAGCGACAAGGCTCTTTAGTACGCAGCAGTTACCTTTAAACTCAATTTGAGAAGAAGCCAAATTTCGGAAAACATCGATTTGTTATTAGAAAAAATTTTATGCAGTAGGCATGACTTCCATTACATTTACATGTAAGGTAATTCGGGAAGGATTATGTTTTTTACGTCTATCTTCATTATTAATGGCAATCTTTCAATTTTTATCTTCAATTTTGTTTCATGAAATGTAATATTACATGGCATAAATGATCGGTTTTTAGTCTGAAAATAGCAACATTATTAATGAAAAATATGAATCTGTCTGCTATTTGTTTTCATGTATAGTTTATCAAAATCTGTTCGAAATCTCTACTACGTGCATTAAAAGTTCAAGAGTTTTTTTTTTTAAAGCTCCTAGGGATTGTTCATTTTTTATGGAAACTTTCATGAAAGTACACTCCTTTTTATTAAACAAACTGAAAAAAAATTAAGTTTTTGAATGAAATACAGTTGAACCTCCCATCGTCAGGGGACGTCCGTTAAATGGGAGTTCATTGGTCTCGAGGAGTTGAGAATTCAGGAACTGTTCTTTTATGAGAAGTATACCCTAAAGTGGCGTGATCGTTAACGGAGGTTCTCTGTACATAAATATATTTATATAATTTTTATATAAAAGCTAACTTATACAGATCTGGAGTCTAAATTTTAGCATTATAAATTCATTAACGTTATTCAATAAAAATTCATTTATTTCAGACTTATTGGTGGACGGACTAATATTTTAATTAATAACCGAAGGGTTCGTATTACTGTAAGTATCTATTCATAATGATCTTCATAGAGACATAATATGCAATAAACTGTTTTCCATAAACCAAAAAGTATCATGTTCCGAAAATTTACTGTAATAAAAATCTATCGCTGTCCAGATTCCTAAATTAGGTTTAAAATGTCACAGCCTTTTCCAAGCCATGATATTTAAGCTTATTTTGACCTTGTTTATTGCATACCTCAGCTAAAGATTGTACCAGGCATTATTAAGGGCTAGAGAGAATCAGAGATATATACTTTTAATGGTACTGATGGAAAACGAAAAGCAACAGCAAAGCGAGGGCTCTTTACCAACAATTAAATATCAAATTCTAAATTACGTAACACTTATTGTACAGTATCTTAATGTCGTATTTCATATTTTGTGCATTTTAAATCTGTAAAACGTGGGACAACTATTATCTTTCAATTACTATTTATTTATTAGATCAAAAGGGCTGCTAGTTTCGAAAAATGATTTTGCTTCCATTCACTTTAAATTTCGTCCTGTACGAATGCGTTGTTTCATTTTCATTCGAGTCTGCTGCCATTCGGCAAAATGTCAGATATTTATATTTCAAATTCAATCTTTCTGTGATTAAGAAGCAATAAATGCAATGCTTAACGTATTTTTTGCTTTTTTAGCTTTTTAATTAGACTGATATAAATAAAACCGCATTTAACTCGTCATATATCTAATTAAAACAATACTTATTTTTATAGAATTACATTATATATTTTTGCCCTTTTGAGTTATACAAATATATAGAACGTTCCTATTTTAGTCTAAATATATATTCATCTGGCATCCTATAAAACGCTTTGCAATTCCACCTGGGGCCTCTGTATTCATAATTTATACAGATAAATTATTTTATTACAGAATTATTTTATTTATTTTTATAATTATTTACTAAATAATGTAAATACTGTAATCAATGAGCATTCTGCTATTATCCAGTTTATCCCCAATGAAGCCAAAAATGCTGAATCAAATAAAGAAGGTAATTGACGTTTAATTTGATTATAACTTCAAGTAATTATACGGATAATTCCCCGATTAAAAAGAAAAGAAAGATATTAATCACAACAGGCAAAAGCATATATAGTATAAAACTTACTGAAATCAAGTTGAAGTTTCAGGTTTTGCTAGTTTTTTATTTATTTGTATTTATTTATTTTTTTAATTTTACAATTAATATTTGGAGAAACAGTCCGACGATAGATTTCAAGTAATATTTTGACATTAATATATAAATTTAGAACATGAAATGAATAAGATTCCTTTGAATACAAAATAAAGTACATTTTAGCAAATATATCAATCAACATAAACCGAAATTAAACAATATTATTATTAATTAAACAAAATTATTATGCCTTATTTGCAAAAGAGCATAACAAATGTTTTGATAAATTATGATAGTAAGCAGTTAAGCCCGCATGTTTCTACAACTAATTAATAAGAGGTACAATGCTTGAATTCAATGACATCTATTTTGGATTCTGTAGTATTGACCTTATTTAGGATAAACCTCATTACGTTTGCGCAAGATTTGTTGCCAAACTCAAATATTCAATTCAAAAACCAGCACTCATTGTTTATCATTGTAAGTAAAAGAAAAATTTTATTCATTACATTCTCATTACGAAAGAAAAGTAAAATTCTATAAATAAATGTTTGGCACATATTCATGTACTGTAAAAGACAAAATAATCTTTGAATGCTTAAAGCAGTTTACATTACTGTTACAATATTTACTTAATTCTCATTTTAAAATTAAATTATAAAACTTTTTAAAATAGACTAATTACTGAAATGAGTAAAATAGCTGGAAATTATTCTGCAATATTTTAAATTAAGGGTCTAAGTTATTGATTGTTTATTATTTCCAAAGATTGTTTATTATTTGTCTAATTACTTATTTATTTACTTAAAGAAAAGTTTTGGTAGAAAAAAAATTAAGTTTCTTTGGCACACGAGCAAATTAATTGGAAATCCCTCCATCATTTACACGAGAATGATATCCCAAGTAACTACTACCAAGAAATGTTATTACTAAGTACTATTACTAATCATTATTAAGTAATGCAAATCCGTTTTGTTGATATTCAGATGCTTTTTCACAGTTCTATAAATCAAATGTTATCATATATTTTTAAAAAATTTTGTCTTAATCTATAACTGTTTACTTTAGCAAGCTCTTTTTGGAGTATAATGTACAACATTTGCGTACCCTTTAGATGCACAGTAACATGAAGTAATGTGAAAGCGAAAGCGTCTACGGAAAGAAATCGTTAAGAAAGGTTTAACATTCCATATTATTCAAAAGCAGTATAATTAACAAAACACTAATATTTTCCAGCATTATGTCATAACAATATTCTCCGATATTATACGAAACGGAAATTATTCTCGTGTTTGACAACCGTGTAATTATTTTCTCGAAAACGTTAGACGGAAAAAAGATTGCATAATAATGTATTAAAAGCTCACTCGGGGTTTTATAAAAGTGTGCAAAGAGCCGTGCACTCGAGCACCTTTTGGCATTATAGATTTCCATTTTACGATTGGACGGGTGCTGGCTGAAGCTTGACTAACTGCGCCATTTATTTTCTGGTAATATAACTCATTCTATTAGCGGCAGTGATTCTCATTAATGATTCAGACGTTTCTTAATGATGAAAAACAGGCATGTTCTGCAAGTCAGATATATATGTGATCCAAAATAAATTTACGAAACTAATGAATTACTGGTAAAATGAACAGCGGTTTGACGATTTGGCTCATTTATAAAGTAAAGGAGCTGTTTCTGAATTTCCAATTACTCACACATCAGCCAATGTTCGAATATGAGTACCTTATATAATAAAAATGAACCATTTTTAGTGCATGAGATACATAAGTAGTTTGCCGAAGAGTTAAACGTTATTCCCAAAGCTCAAAATCGAAAGATTTCCGGCAGAAAATTTCGACATCTATATTATAGCTGTGGTATCATTACCTGATGATTTACGATCGGATTACGCATAATTAAACCAGAATTTTGACATGTCTAGTAAGCAGTCGATTTGGCTGCCCTACTTTCGCAATGATTTATTTCCGAAATTGTCATTTTACCCCAGTAGAACAAATAGAAGAGGTACATTTGGAGAATTAATTGCTTAAATACGATCTCAAATGATGACTAAGATCACTGACAGAGATCCAAAGGTTCCGAAATTAGAGATTAAAGAAAAGAAACGGGATTTACCTGTTGGCAATAGGTACCGAAGCTTAGTTATTGCAATTCCTATTCGTTGAAAAGTATAAAAATTGGTTTTAATTGCCCAGCAGGTACAAATAACCAAATCAAAACAACAGGATGAACAGACGTGAAATTATTCACCTATAGTGGATTCCTTCCTATATTGACATCTTGGGTAATGAGACTGCAAACACCCTGGCTTAGGCCGTTGATGGAGCTGCCTTGGTGCCTTCTGTGCCACTCACTTATATGAAGCTTTTTTCCTTGATAAAGTGCAAGTATAAAATCACTTCTTCCACCGGTTCACATCTGGTAAGAGGGTAATCGGCCGGATGGCATTTGATTGCAAAATGCAAGATCAATCCACCATTACCCGCTTCCTCAGTGGGCTTCTTTGACATTTTTTTAGAGTTCCAAGTTAAAGTCTGTACCAAGTGTTCTTCTGAACAGGGACGTTCTTAACGGGGGCTGCAGTGCGTAAAAGTACGCGGGCGGCCGAACTGTCGCGATACACGCCTAAATATTTTAAATTCATTGTAAGTACCTGTCATATGTAAGTACTTAGTGAGAATGAAATAAAAATTTGATTAATCATTGAGCATTGAAAAAAAAAAAAAATTATATCTTAGGAAAGTACGCGGGCAGCCAATGGTCTCGGAAAGGCCCTGCTTCTGAACAAGCTTCCTCTGATCATATTCTTGATTGCCAGGGGCTTTCTCTGCAGGATCTTAGTGACAATCCATTGTTGGTTATGGATTTTTTTAGGGTGCAGAACGACATGGACCATGGACATGATTTAGCCCTGCTAGTCTTGATGAGCGATAACAACACAGGTGTGGAATTCG